CGCAGCAGTAGATTCTCTGCTTAGATGTGTTCACAACAGCAACAAATTCTCAGCCAGGTGCGGGGGAGGTGCAGCAGGCAGAGGCTGGATGTAATGTATTAATTCAGCGGCAGAGATCATGTGAATTGGTTAACAGCACATCAACACAAGTGTCTGCTGTTATCACCAGTAGCCTTTTCCTCTTGACATCTTATTCTTCGTCTTCTATGTGTGTGTGGCTCTGCTTTTCCATCCAGAGATATTTGTTTTATTCTTGATATTTAAATTTTTGCACATGTTGGAAATGTCATCGACCCCACCACTCTCTCCATGCTGTGCTCTCACATCGGCTCCTTTGGATTTTCTGCAGACTTTATACCAGGGGGCCAGCCTGAGAAACTCCGGAGGCTCTCACCCGTCCCACGAAACATGTATTTTCTAAATTACTTGGATAAAACGTGGATTTTCTAAATTACTTTTTCAAGAAGTGCTTGTTTGTGCTTATTGGATTTTCTTTAAATACACATTCACGTCTTGATATTTCACAGCTGACTGGATTGTTGGGACTGTTGCCAGGCTGCAAAGCAAAAGACAGATCATCAATACCCTGGGCCACTTTCACCTGTTTTATCCGTCACTCAACAAGACAGTTGACAGACAATTTTTGTCAAATAGGCCACATGGAACCTCTGTCAGGGGTGTCACTTTGCTCTGTTCAGTTGCTGGAACATTCAATTATTGGCAGGTCATCATTGATAGAATTTTTTATTTGCACAATGTATTAATACAATAAGAGATTCTTTTCTTGTTTTAGCAAAAAGAAACATATACAAGAGACACCGTCAATCTATTACTGAGTCACTAAAAGTGCACAGCAACCCTGCAACAATCACAGTGCAAATGGCACTGAAAGAGCAAAAGAGCTATTTAAAAGAGTCACTGGAAACACGGGTGGAGCGTCATCTTTCAGCTTCATTGAAATAAATCTATGCCTCTGGAATTTCTGCGGAGTCCAGCTGCCTTGTAAAAAGTCTGCAGAATGTCTGAAGGAGCCGATGTCAGAATACAGCAGGAGCACTGCACTCCCAGAATTCAAGCTTACTTGTCATCCCGAAAGTCTCTAAAGTAGATTAGGAGACTGTTTCTTCTAATCAGTGTTGTAAATACTGTCATTGTGCTGATGTTTTCAGTTACACGTGGCATCTATTGCACTTCTGTCCGTCCTGGGAGAGAGTTCCCTCACATCTGGCTCTCTCTGGTGTTTCCCAAATTCTTTCCCCCGTTTAAATATTTTATTTTTTACTTACTCTTGTTGAGGGTTAAGGGTAGATGGGATGTTGCACCATGTCAAGCCCTATGAGCCATGATGACATCCTAATCCTACTATATGATCATAAATTATTTTCAAATCTATATAAGATGAAGGTTGGGTCTATAGTCCTATAGGATGCAAAGATATACCAAGACAAATATATTTTTAAACTTTGCATGATCCTTGTGACTTCCTTATCATGTCAGTTGGCATAAACTATAATATATAATAGAATATAATATCATAAATATAAGCTTTAGATTGTCTCTCCTGCTCTTTTATTATAGGAGATATCTTGGATTTATTCCACTACATGCAGAATGTTGCATTCATGTCTGCACAGTGTTTTTACTTTAGAGTTGGCATAGCCCATGGTGGTGGTGGTGGTGGTGTTAGGGTGGGTGGGGACCAATGTGATATCATGGGGCCCAAAATCCATGGCGGTTCCCCTGATCGTGCCTCTTCAATAGCAGATGTGTTGACAGCAGAGACGATGAACGATGCGAGGACAAAAGCTGACAGATGTGATGAATACAACGTCAAATGGCTAATCAATCTCATGTGGGTTGAAGGAAATGGACGATAAGCAGCAGCAGGAATCTCCTGGTGTGAGTCAGCAGAGGTAAACGTCTGAGTGGCAGCACGTACGTGTGTGTGAGTGTGTGTGTGTGTGTGTGTGTGTGTGTGTGTGTGTGTGTGTGTGTTTGTGTGCAGAGTGCCTGCGTGTGTGTACTTCTGTGTATCCAATTGTGTGTGGAGCCTTTTCTTGGTCTCTCATGCCTGACCTTGTCTTTGTGAACCAAAATGAACAGGAAGGTTGTGTGTGTGTGTTTGTGTGTGTGTGTGTGTGTCCAGAAACACACTTCCCTACCTCTTTTTTGCAGACTGGTAACAAACACTGGCAACAGCCCGAACATATTGGAAAAGAACACACTGAAAAAGTATGAAACAAAGTGACAAACGACTAACTTAGGAAATAATAACTTCACAGTGGCACAGGAGCATGAAATAGACCGACTCCAGCTCATAGAGGAAGAAGGAGGGAGGTGGAGGAGTGAGTGAGCAACTATCTGTTCGCCTACACTTTGTTCATAGCCGACACTCCCTCCACTCCTGTCTTCGCCTCTTCAGCTTTTATTCTCTTCTCTGCAGAAGGCCATTACCATGTCCTAGATCATCTGTAAGTGAGCATGTGCACATGACCTGTGTGTGTGTGTGTGTGTGTGTGTGTGTGTGTGTGTGTGTGTGTGTCCATGTCTACATGACCTACTTAGACCAGGAATGGTCTTCCCGAACATTCTACTTACTCAAAAGTGAGGCTTCAGTCTAAAACATGCATTATTTTTTTTCTACTCTCAGCATTTTCACTGTCTATCTTTAGCTTCTGAGTACTTTTCTTCACATCCCATTGTACTCAAGGACACGCTGTATCCACCATATCAACTCCCCCTCAACACACACACAAACTGCATGCAACTACACATCACCAGACAGAGCCAACTGTGCTATCCACTGTTATAGAAGTAAACCAAATCAAAATCAATCCAGAAGAACCTGAGAAGCTGTAGATGACTCCATGCATTAGATACACTCCAAAACCTAAAGCATGCATTACTCATAATGCAACTAAGCCACTGTTATATTAGTTATGTTAGTAAGGACTAATGTAGTCTGTAGCCTCTAGCTTCAAGCAGAGATGTGTGAGAGATCACTTCTTTCTACATAGAAACCACAACCTTGCACTTCTATCTTAGTGAGGACACTCATTTTATTTGTATTTATACTAGTACACACACACTTTTTTTCATTTCCAAACTTGTAGCCTTCAGCCCAAACTGACACTGGCTCAAGTGACTCAAGGCCACACAAGGGTTTTGACAACTTTTCAGCACATACACCATAGTAGCTTCCTCCCCCAAGATATGTAAACAGACTTTGATGTGTAAAGTTCCCCTTTCGGTAATGAGATCTCACCCACATCACATTTAAAATTGTATATATTTGCTCAATGGTGATTGGTTCTGTGAGAGCGTAAGCTAAGTAAAAGTAGTTTCAAACTGCACTAGTAGTGTAGCTCTGGGGGTTGGCAATGGCCGTGCAAGAATCCATCTGTTCAACAATTTGATCCAGATTAAGATATGTAAACAACTTTTGGATGGATTAATGTTAAATTTGGCAGAGGCTTAAATTGTTTTCTGTGGTTAAACACTTATGGCTTAGGTGATCCCCACCAGTTTGACTCAGCCTATCAAACAAATGTACAGATTGTTTTCAACAAAGCGGTCCTGCCAACATTCCTCCTCAGGGGCTCTTAGCATTGATGTAGACTTTTAATTGTACTAAATCTTCGATTTCAAGGTACAAGATTTAATCATCTGCAAAACTATCTGCAACTATTACTAGACAAGAGTGCAGCAGTGAATTATTCTTTGTACACTTTTAGACTTGTAATTCATTTCATTTGGACCAGACCATAAATTGTATATAAAGATGGATGACGTGTCTCTACTTCCTCCCACTATCCAGTAATCAAGCCTAAATATACCATCTACGAACGTTGCCTTCTTCTACATTTGGAGCCAAAGTCTGTGCAGTAGCAATAAGGGAATGGAGCCGCAGTATTGAGGTCCCGCGAAACAGACACTTGACCAATCAGGAGTCAGTCTCAGCTATCAATCACGATGCTTCACCCCATCTTTATAGCATCAAATAACTACGGTAATTGAATGAACACTTAAAACCTAAAATTACAAAAAACATCTTTGAGAAAAAAATTATTGATTTTTAGTACGGACATGTCCCGTCCACTGACATGGAGGAAGAGGGATTTAGCAACTATTCTGCAGCCAGCCTCTAGGGGGTTGTTGAGACGTTTTGGCTTCAGGGAGCAATCATGAGGTGTCCATCTTTATATACAGTCATGGTCCAGACTAAGAATGGGTCATAAGGATGAACTCAGTCATTGGAGAGTTATGGTTCCTTCTGTTCATTCATTCTTTTTTCATGGACTACCAAGATACAGAGAGCAGGACAAACAGCTCTGTTCTTTGTCCATGATCAGGAGTGGGGACATACATATGTGTTACCATGGTTACCAAATGCACAATTTAACAGTCCACCGAAAAGTGTTTGAAGTACAACTGAACACTAGCTGATAATCTTGTTATTCGAGGGACTAGAGTGTGCACACTGTCGTTAAAGGTGCAACAGAGCAGAGTCCCGACCGCCACCAACCAGACTGTTCAACCACAGGGTCCAGTTAAACACTGCTGCTTTTCAGCTCAGCATTAAGTTAATCTTGATGTTGGTGCTGTAGCAGCATGAAACTGTGTCAGTGTCAGACAGCCTGGTGCATGTTAAATTTTAACCACTGTTCTAAATCATGATCTAAATCAAGTAATTAGCGTTGGAAATGGGTTGTAATGCACCAAGATTACCTAACTAAAAGTATACAATTCATAAATACATTTTTCTTTGGATAAGAAATCCTATGCAGTGTCTTTAAAAGGTGGGTGTGACACAATGTGCAATTTGTGCCACATTAACTGGGATGGACATTCTGTCATTTGTGTTTACCGTCGCCTTATGTCAGCCTGTAAGAACTGGAAGACTTGTAATGGACAATTTTGGGTATAAACACATTCTTCAATGTCATTAATTGTCATACCACACACAAACACACACACACACACACACACACAGCTCTAACCTGTTCCTTGACGGAGGCGAGGATTGCGGAGGTGGTTTCAGACTCAGAGCCGTCTCCGTTGGAGGCATTGAGGACCGGGCTCAACATGGTGGCAGCGCTGGCAGTGTCAGACGCCACCTCAGGCACTGGCATACCTCCTGGAAAACAAGGGAACTATTTTACTATTATTAAAGACATGCTGACATGCCAGCGTTCAGGTTGAGTGGCTGTCACACCTACACTCTTGTACTTATGGATAACCATATGCACAGATATGGATGAAGGTAAAGAGAGGCACACTCTTGCAAACACACGTATAGCATCAATGTAGTGGGTTACAGGAAAATTAAACCTCACTGACAAACCAATCTGCAAATAGAGCTCCAGTTAATATCCATCTGCAATGCATTAGTATGTGATGTCCATATTCTGTTTTGATATAATAAATCTTACATTACCGCTACTGGAGCAGCATTCTGACCAGTGCTGATTTTCTGTTATAATTTATATAGACTTATTCATGTTCAGGGTCCTGGGGAGCTGGAGCATATCACATTACACATTTGGCAAAGAGCAATGAAACGTCCTCGACAGGTGAACTGGTACATTTCTGTAACATAAAATCTAGGCCAGTGAGATGCAAGAGTGCAAACCTCACAGCGCTGAGAGGAAAATAACTGGTGGAAGTTTAGTAATAAAAGTGATAGCAGTAGTACTGACAGCAGAGACTATTGAAGTAGTTATTTGATCACAGCAATATCAGTATTATAGGACAAGCATAGTACCATATAAAGTGGCAGTGGTGTCACCCATTAGATTTGTGACAACAGGAGTATATTATATACTCCTTCCAACAAAGTTATACCCAGTCCTGGTGAAAACAGAGAAGACATTCTGACACATTTGTAACAAACGATGTGACAGTAATTTGTACGTGAGGCTGTGTAGCAATAAAAAAAACAGTCCAGTAACAACATCTTATTGTAGACCAACGTGTTAATCCATATCTCACCTCTCGGCTCCAAACCCATTAGCACCCACTGAAGATTTGATTTATTTATTTAAAATGAGTCAGAAGGATACCTTTTGTAAAAAAGCTTACCAAGTTCCTAAACAGCTGGCAGCTTAAGTGTTTAGCAGATGTTACTTTAATAAGAGTTTATAGTACATTGGTTAGGAACTCTTTATAGAAGTGGATTAATCCGCATTTGATGTTGCATTGAGTATTTCTAGAAGCAAGATGGTGCATTTGGGATTAACTCTATATAAATAAACTGCAGAGTGTTCATTAGTAATGAAAAGACATGTCACACAGGGTAACACTGTGGTTCAATCATATGTTTTCAATATGTTTTTAATAACAATGGAGATCTGTGGCACGGGGGACAAAAATGGAGACAAATACATTATGCAAAACTCATCCTATGAACAAGAGAGGAAAAAACTACTTCCTGGAAGTATCAGAGTCCAAGCCATTGGCACACACACACACAAACACACACACACGCTTGATGACATGTGTCATCCTGTATTTGACCACGCGTGGGAGGACACAGGCTTCACATGTGCTATGTAATCCTATGCTGCACAGATCTGGTCTAACAGCTGCATCAGCCAGCTTTTACACCCTGATGAAAGACTTGTCATCATCACACAGACGTGCAGATCGCAAAAAAGGCTGGCTGTCGGCCTAGCCAAGGTGAAAGTAAAAGTGAAGCCTCTGAGCAGAGCGGAGGAATAAGAGTGGAAAGGCGGGAAGAGATGAGAAGGTGAAATGAAAAGAGGCATGGAAAATGACAACATGCAGAGGGCAAAGGAGAGGAAGAGGTGAGGGTTAGGAGTAAAGAGGGCTAAAAGAGAAGAGAAGAGTCCTGCTTGCTGCTAGGCAACAATCTCTGGTCACCGAATGCTAGGCTGACCTGGTTCTGCTTGTCTTCCATTTTGGAGTGTAGGCTCTTCCTCCTTACCTACCAACCCCTCGTCACATTTTCAGAACTCACAATTCCTCATTACCACCCACCATTCTTTTCACACTATCTCCCGCTCTCCATGTTTCTCCCCATTCCTTCTCTCCCCGTTGCATCCTCCTTTCCCTCCTTCCTCTTGTTGCCTTTCTGCCTCTAAACTTCCTCTCTCTCCTTCCCTCTCTCCCTGCCCACTTCTGTTCACTTGACCTATTTCAGTGTCTCCTCATCTTTTCTGCAAATTTCTGCTTCATTAGGCAGCAGGCAGTTGAGCGTGACACAAGTAAGATGACGCGGAAGGTTACTGGTTGGATTTGAACCTGTGACACTACAGCACACCTCAGCCCACATGACTTTGTCTCCCCCGAGCATGCACTGTACCTCAGCTGCTTATCTGACCTCGTGACACCACTGCATGCTTCACAGTAATCATGCTATCTCGATTTTCTCTCCTCTTTTTACTGCCCAGGTCACAACAGCGTAACATTGTAATGTGATGTCATGTCTTTTATTTCCTCTACATGTTCCTCTTTCATCTACCTCCCTCCTTCTTCTAAAATAAATATCTTCTCTTCTGTCCCTCTTCACTCTTCCTGTATCACACACACACATCACTCTTATTATCACCTCTACTCATCCTAATCCATCTTTATCCCTCTCTTTCCAGAGAATACACACCTAAATCCCTCTAATACACTTTTATTTTTGCCTTTTCCTGGGAATCCCAGTGATTCAATTTGTTGCTCTTTGTACAGCAGTATCCATTGCTTATAACTGCAGATTAGAAACTCTCTCAATTTCTCTTAAAACTAAAACCTAAAACTTGAATACATTATGATTAGTTTGTGAAAATGAGACGACTGGACCAACAAGTAGGTAGCAAGAAATGTCACGTGTGGAGAGATGTTGTTTCTTTAAATCAGTGAAACCACCACTTTAATCTGTGACATGATAAATCATAGTGCAACACAAATTAATAACAGTCCACTGTGTCAGTGGGCTAATATCTGTCACTATCCGAGACTGCTAATGATAAAGATGGATCATACACGTCTTGGTACTATCCGGAAATGAAGCAAAATATCTTGGATACACAGCCATCTTGCACATTCTGAGCCAGGGTCTATGCAATCGCAATTAAGGGACGGTGCAGAGGCCCGACTAATCCACTCACTCGACCAATCGTGAGTTAGCCTCAACTGTCAATCATGACATTTCTCCCCATTTTAATAGCATCAGATATCTGACTTGAATCCAAACTTACTGGAAAATGAACAATTGAAACTACATCAGTGAGATGACAACTATACCTAAACTGACAGAAACCATCTTTGACTTAATAAGTTTGGTCCAAGTCACATCCACTAAAATGGAGAAGGTGAATTGTATGACCTATACTGCAGCAAGCCACCAGGTGGCAATCGAGATTTTGGCTTTTTAGGGGCAGTCATGTCACACAACTTTAAAATAGAGTCTATGGTCAACATGTCTACATTTTACATAAGCTAATAAGCACAATAGGCTGGGCAGACAAAACCCACTAAAGACAGTCATATCAGTGTTTGGTAAAAATTTTAACTTGCAAGGCAAGGGTGTGATTTATTTCTCTTGAATTTAACTTAAATATAAGAAGAAGACTGTGTAATTGTATTTTTCAAATTTGCAACATTGTCCTTTAATATCATCTTAATGTCAGCACAACTTCAAGGACATTATATGTGAGTAAAAGGGAATTTAACTGCTGAGGCCAACACATGTAAAAAAAAACTGCTTGACTTTGTAATCCATACTGAGTCATGCAATTGGGCATGAGTCATACACTCATGCATACTGTGCTAATGCAGAGGAGATGTTAGGCCTTGCTAACACCAGCCACATCACTGTTCTGTGAAAATATAAAAAGCAGGGACAATAGAGAAACAGCAATATCTCCCTCAGGAAAGCCTCTTTGAGAACTGGGGGCATTATTATTTTAAGGTGCATGCACAATGACGACATGATCACAAAACATTCTTTGAACAATATAGATGACTAACACATATTCCATTATTGTTACCGTGAAGTCCATTTATTCATTTAATTCCTTTACAATGTTGATTGCAGAGCCGTATTAATCATGTTTGCACAAGCAGCACCACTTTTTGTTTTGTGCATTTCAGTCCTAGTCAGTAGATTGTTGTTTTTTTTCCAAACAAAACTTTCTATATGTCAGCGTTCTGGAGCAGTAACACAATCCGCAGACTGAGATTAAACTTCAGTAGAGTGGGTCAAAGAAACTGTGGGTGGGAAGCATTAGATTAAAGCCCAATACGAAAAGCAATATGTTTGGAAAAGCTTTTTTTCGACAGCAGAGGCATTTCAAATTCATCCACTGCCTGTTTTTGAGCAATATGTTTGAATTTGAAGAATGTCAGCTTATTGAGGATGGAAGTCACTACTTCAGTTAGAAAATTACCCTGCCAATGTGTTGGTTTGTCTGACTGTTGGCGTGACCCTTGGGGTGAACTGATATAACTCAACTAATGTTTGACGGATTGACACAACATCTTGAAAAGACATCCATGGTCTGGGAGGCTGAATCCTATGGTGACCCTCTGACATTTCATTTAGGGCCACCATACCACCATTGTGTTAAATATAATAAATTCCCATGTAATCTATTAAAGACATTTATGTCAAGGATGGATTGAAGGCTTTACCTTTCTTAAAAGTAAATGTATGAACATGGTAGACACTATACCTTCTAAACATTGGCATGTTGGCGTTGTCATTGTTGGCTGAGAGGCTGAGAGTTGTGTTAAAGCTGGGGTTGGTAATCCTACAAAAGCTAAACAGGCTACACTAAAAAAATGCAACCGCTACATCAAACCCCTCTCGTCAAAGCTAAGCCCCCAAAACACATTTTGAACTTGCACTCCCTGATAACTGCCAGATGCCGACTTTTCCATGACCTGCTGACTAACTTCTGACTATCGCCTTCCATTGAATGATGACGAATCACTTCAATCAGTCCAAATTAAATTATTGGTTGTGTTTGTTACAGTACTGTGAGGGCCACAGAGACCGACTTTAGTGTCAAATGTGTATGCAGTGTCTCGCTTTAGTTTGTCTGGAAACATCCATATGCATGACATATTTCATATGATAGTAAACTCAGGTTTGAACTTGATCAGAGAACTAGATCAGGGAACGAA